TAATTTGATTCTAATATTAAATATTTTAAAATTTTAATTACAATATCTTCAAATTTATATTTTATTAAAAGATAAAAACATTATCACTTTTTCAAAATCATATAAAACTGTATTTATATCAATAGATAAATAATAAAAGAAAACAATAAAATCGAGATGTAACTCGCTGCATTGTGCGAGTATCCTTCTAATTAGTTGATAAACATAAACCAAAAACATAATAAACATCTCATTTTAAATATAAATGTTTTAAAATATAATTACGATAATTATTGAGTTTTAAAATAATAGTTAATTTATTATTTTTGTTAAAAAAAATACATTATGAAACCTAAGATAAATTAATCTTTATCAAACCTAAATTAAATTATAATAAAATAATAGAATTAAACAAATTATACAAAAAATTGATAACTTTTAAATTGTTAACTAGATACTAATATCGATATATTTTTGTAAATATGGATCTTCAAATTTATATTTTATTCAAACATAAAACCAATATTGTTTTTTCAAAATCATACAAAACCGTATTATAAAATCGATAAAGACAAAAAAAAATATAATGAAACAATAAAACCGAGATGTGTCGCATTGCATTACACGATTACTCTTAGTAATTTATTAATATATACATATAACTTTGTAAAAGGATCCTTCATTTAAGAACCTAATAAATTGTGATAACTAATAACTGGTACGTCATGTGTTATTTCATATTATCTTTTTTTTTCATATACAGCTTAAATTTAGTGTATTGATTGATATATATTCGTTTCGTAGTTGTTTGTTTTATAATATAAACATTTTTATGTGTTTGTGAAACAAAAAATACAACAAAAAGTTTCACATTATAAACCGAACACATATGACTGAATACATTGTGAAACAAATATCTACTTATTGAAGCAAAAAAAATTAAAATTATTATTATTATTATTGTATGTAATATATATTTAATTTTCCTATACTAAATTTTGTTGAAATAAATGCCATATAATATGGAAACAACAATTAAATAAATAATATATGATTTAATAAAATATCTACTTATTGAAGCAATAAATAATTAAAATTATAACGTTGGTTAATATATTAAACAAAAAAATGTAAATAAAATAGAAGAGAAAATCAAGCAACATAATTAGTGGGTCTCCAATTTGTTTGTAAGCGACGATGTCGTATTGGGTCTGAAAAATGAAACGGATATGGACCCACACGTTTAAACAGAGGCCCCACAAGGCCGATATAATAACAATTTGCAATTTGGGCCGTTGATGACGGACAAAAGCCGAAATCCTTTTCACGCCTAAGACAAAACTACGATCGATATTCACCGTTAGATTACTCCGTAAAACAAGGGCGGCCGTCGGTGTCTGCCCATATCGATATCCTCACGGGATATATGTATATATAAATTATTTTCATCTTGCCATCCCTTAAGTTTTATTAGTCACATCATACAAAGGGTGTTTTGGTCTTTTTGTATTTTCTTTTATAATTTAAGTGTGTAGAGTATTTATAAGAACTACCTTGAATTATTCTTGTTCATAAAGAGTACGTCAAATTTGAATAATCATTCTCGAATAAATTAAAACTCTGTATTTTTGGGTCGTTTACCAAACGTTTATTTGAATAAGCGTTTATCAAGTCACATTATTTTATCGGGTGAATATGATAAGAACCAAGAGTCTTATCCGATAAGTGAAATCGACGAATCTTACTATGGTAAGCGTTTACCGGGTAAATTGTTGCATACGATGTCATTTTGGTGGACTAAAATCTTACCCGATAAGTAAATGATAGTGTTAAATTTTACCCGTAAACACTTACCGAATAAATGTTTGGTAAACGACCCCTTACTGTTTAAACTATCTAACACACACGGATGATGAACAAAAATAATGGAAAGGCTTGCCAATCCATTTATATCTTTATAATTAACTAGTGTTTGACACCATGCGTTGCATGGTGACAATAATCTTTTTTAAAATTACTGAAGTTAGCT